AGAGCCTGACATTAGCCTTTTGATAACTCTGATTTAGGACAGGTATTGCGTATAGGCACTAATACGCACAAATGCACACACGCTCATACTCAAGCAAAAGTAACAGGACCAGTATGAAAAATAATTAGCCAAACCACTCTATTTCTATATCCATATATAGGTTTTTAATATTATTTTGGTTTAATTGAGTCTATATAAGAGGTAAGATATAGTGGGATAGTATTCTTGCCCTCGTGGACTGTGTCAACCTGAACATCGTATAAAAGCCAAATGGCTGCACTTCTATTCGAAATGAAAGTCTCCGGAACAGATATCGCAAGATAAACCGTGGCAACAGTGGTGACATCTAAAATTTCTCCAACTTCTTCATCTAGACATAATCTAGACGGAAGGAAAGTGGTGATCCCAAAAGATAATACAATTATCTATTTTAGGGTGCGATTATTCAATCTGTAATAGGCCGCACTAATCGTCAGGTTGATTAATTTTATCTTGATCGGTTCTGCCTGAAGGACATAATTTTCTTGAAGATATGAATACCAAGATGGTGTGGTTTCTGGTATGGTCGCAGTCTGATATAATTTTTTCTTTCCAGGATCTCTCTCATAAGATATTCTTAGGAATTGATCGCATACCAAAGCTACCCTTCGTGCCTTTGAGCATAAGTGCGAAAAACAAATCAAAAAATACTATACAACAAAGGGAGACGGAGACAAAACCCGAGGCCCCAGCATATTGGCCTTTCTGTGCGCAAGCATGATTTATCTCCAATAAATTTTACGAAAGAAGGGAATAAATTAAAAAGGCGCTTCCCTTCAGCTCATATTAATCCCATACTTTCTATAGAATATATTAGATTTGATTTAGCCTAAGAATAGACTGAAGGGAAGTACCGAAATATATCCTCATACTATATCATTTAGTTTTTACAAACAACGCAAATGCCTTTTGACGCGAATAGCCGACATAAAACGAGGTTGCTAGCATAACGGCTACATTATTTTAAGTAAAATGTGCCCCAAAACATACGAGGTATTGTTAAGGGACCGCTGAGTTGGCTGTTGAGATTCTGGTAGCTTGGCACGGATCACCTCTTTCAACTGATGCATGATCTCGTCCCTAAAGGCCTGCACAAAGTCATGATGACGGCTGATATGCAGCATACCGAAGAGACAGGGCACCAACTTTGAATATGAGAAAAAAATAAGATAGAATGGTGCGAATTCAAAAAGTGGGAAACCAGCATGAAAGACTGTTTGTAAAGAAACAATAAATACCTCAAAGCATATACAGGGAAATACAATTTGAGATAAATTCATTGCCCCTTAATTACACCTTTAGCAGATATTACCGAGCAAAGCAAAGAGCTATCAAATAATTTATAATAGAATGCTAAGCTTATTCTGAGTGCTAATAATTCACAGTCTACAAATGGCCAACAAGCAGAAAAAGCTATGCAAAGCTTGCCACGTAAATAGACGATAAAAAGCACTTAAAGCAATTGATTTATACCCACAAAACTTCCGAAGCGAATCTTCCTCACGATGTCAAATTTCCTAAGATAAATTTTATAAACATTCAGATTTTCAGCGTTCACGATGTCGAATGATAGGATATATTCACAAAGTATGTATTTATCTGAATTACTCAGAGAAGCATAGAAACTATTTAAAAGCTTAACTATATAATTGACAGAAAGCTGCAGTTTAGTGAGAGTGGAAGCCAGATAAATTTTTTTAATAAAAAAGGAGCTGATCCTGGGCAGAAGACAACAAAGGGAACAAGAGCCAACTGGAAGATGAGCCTCACATCAGGTCCGTTTTGGGCCCCAGTCGGAGAAAGATAATAGCGTATAGCGCTGTTGAACTCAGTCACCACCATGCTCCGCACAAAATGAGCGATTTCCGTCAACTGAGCGCCCAAGTGACGAAGACAGACCAATTGGGGCTGCCTGCCATTGGTGTACTCGCGATGCAAACCGACCGAAGAGCATGGCAGCTGTCGCTGTTGGTCGAACGAATCAGCGAAAGCACCAGTTTCACTGGGGGCAGAAGGGTCCCGATGAGCAACAAGTGAACCAGTTTTTGAACTAAAAAGGTCAGGGCTAGTCAGCAGATCTTGAGTAGACTCAACAAGATCAAGGGCGGAACAGAAGTCGTTTGAGGCCAACAGGGACTGGATGGTAGGTTGGGCTGAATGCAAAGTGGCGATCAATTGCAGCTATAGAGGACAGAAGCAATGAATAATAATGCAATGATAGTGTTGCAATACGTAAATATCTCAGTCAAAGTCAACCAGATGTAAACTAGAATACTTACTAGTCAAAAATTCTAAAGCGTCATAGGAAGAAATTTTTACCAATTTAAAACAAATATTAGGCAATCATCGAAATGAAGCACATAATGTCCAATAGAAGTGGGCTATATAGGTAGCTTGCGTATGAATACGAATCAAATCGTATTAAAACGTGAAAGGTCAAAGTAGAGATCAAAATTAAATAGGAAAACATAGCATAATCATTTGAATTTGCTCTGATAAGCGTGATGCAATAAAAGGTAAAAGAACGAGGAAATAGGGTTGTAGAAAGCTATTATCAACTATAGAGGAGAAATTTGAGTATAGCCATTCACTCAGCAAGTTTTAGACTACATTTTAATTCAGGATTGCTTTAGGCTCAGGAGGATATCGCCTCCAATAGCTACTAAACCTATGCAATAATAAACACTAAAAAATAAACGGTCAAGGGTAGGGATCCTTGCCGCTTATAAAAATGAAAACGGTTAATTAGAAGAGCTAAGGCCATTAAAGAATAAATGAAAAAAATATGTAATGGATGACAGCATCACTTTAGCTATATATGTAAATTAGCTTAATATGAAAGATATTTTACTCTTATAATTAAAAACGTTCTCAAAAAATAAGATGTCCTTGTAAGAATCGATGGGCATTTGCAGCACTTTAGAAAAAATATTTGATTTTGACATGGGGATTATCGAAAGAAGAGTACGAAAATAGTCTTTCCTGATTGTCAGCTCTTTTGATGCACTGTAACAGATATAGCCGTCTCATTTAGGGATAACAATAAACAAAATGAGACTGCCTCCATGTTGGTGATTTCCTTCTCTTGCCTGACAAGGGTAACTGGTCAATTATTTGATATCATGAAGTATCGCCATCCTAATGCTTCTTACGCAACATAGGATGAAGGTATAGATAAAATTTCACCTATAGACGTAGTGATTAACTGGAGGAGTGGATCCACAGAACCAGGCAAAAAATTTCACTTCAGTTTTGTTTCAAGAAGACACAACTGTGAACTAATAAGACATTTGACGAATGTACTTTACTGCGAACCATGAAATTATTGAAGAGCTTACCTTACTTCAAAAGATCTTGCTGAGAAATTGCAACATTGTTACGAAATTGAAAGAGTTTACATCAGGCAATAAGCCAATCCTCTTTAGATAAGATCCTGAAATACAGTTCATTAAGCTAAATGAGCCGCTGAATGAATTGAACGCTAGAACATCCCCTAGGCAACCCCTGTCACAACTGCATTCATACGAGATTGTAACATTTATGTAGGACTCAATAAGAGAGAACTCGCTGACTAAAAGTATAGAAAGTGCAGTGAGACTGGAGTGAATCAGTGTGTATTCATAAACGATATATTAATTAAACCATCAAAAGTTCTAGATAAAAATCTGCGAATAGTCAAGCATGCATTCTCTGCATTTTTGAGTAGGCCAAAATTTTAGAACGTATCAAAACATGCATATTCTTTGGGCTAAACTTGGACTTTGTTGGAGATCTTCAATTCGTACCAAAGTACACGAAGAAGATATTCGAAGGTCGATCTCACTAGAAGAGGACGGCTGATTCCAGTTGTACTGTAGCCGTTTGGCTTCAATACAACAACGAGGTTAACACAGTACACGAGACATACTCCTTGTTTCGGGTGAAAACGGACTGAACTTTCGTCCACCATATGATGGACATCATCAGATCTGGAAGACATTCTTGTAAAAGTCTGACGTTAACACTAGGTTAAGAAGACTGTCTGGCTCTATTTTGCCTCATATATACATATAATTAAAAACAAAAATGAAAAAGCATATATAGATATACGATGTCATGGCTAATTATCTTACAAACTGATCCTGCTACTTTTTTTGAATCTGTGTGTCTGTGTTTACCTCTATACTCAATACCGGTACTAAATCCGAGTGATATATAAGAAGAAAGGTAGAATTAGACAATCTTCTTGACCAAGTGTTAACGTGAGACTTACAAAAATGAGTTCCAGTTCTGATGACGTCCATTATATAAGATATCAGCCCCTTTTCATTCGAACCGAGGGAAGATGTCTCGTGAAGTGCGTCAACTTAAACGTCATAATAAAGCCAAATAGCTGTAGTACAATGGGAATCAGCCGTAATCTTCTGATAAGGTCGACCTTCGAATCACTTCTTCATGCGCTTTCATACGAAATGAAAGTCTGCCCAACAATGTTATTTCGGGATATTCATCCAAGCTCAGTTACTATTAGTACCATAAATTTGGATTGCATTTAGGCTGAAAAGTAATCCCGAGACGAATCAGTCTAATTTAATGCTAATTTTTCAGATTATCCATTAAAGAAGAGCGCCGTAATTATTTTTTGTCAGATTAACTTCTTTGAAACTCACTAATTCACTCATTTTCCTTGGTTTTCGCACAGCACTCTGGTTTTGCAACCTTAAACTAAATGAGTAGAAGTAGTAGGCGTGTAGTTGACGTCATGTGACGGACGTAGTCAGAGCCAGAAACGATTACTCACGAACATTCATCAAAAACAATAAACCAAAAAATTGAGGTATAAGAAGTAAGTAGGATCTCAGCTGGCCAACTTTCTTGGTTTAGTGTTTTTGGTGAATGTTCGTGAATAATTGTTTCTGGCTCTGACGATGTCCATCACATGACGGACGAAAGCTCAGCACGGAGTCATCGGAATCGTAGGACAGTGAGTAGAAGTCATCTTCGCACAATTCAACAGTCAAAAGACCAAGCCAACCCACTCTCGGTATCCAGTGCGGCCAATCTACGAATCCCTTCAACCCGCCTTCTCAAACGAAATGAAAGGTATGCTAGTATCAATGTAAAAAGAAAGTCATTGCAAAACAGCCAATTTTAAGGTAACTTGCCTTGCCCAAAATGGCCTCATAATTCAATCTCCTCCGAGAAAGACAAATTAATTTTGCCATTCGAGAAACGAAAGATGATTCAACTTGCTTCAATGACCGTCTGATAAAAAAAATAAAGTATTGAAATTAAAAAAAGAATTATATTTGCATAACAAATAATTATTAAAAAATGTAGATAGAGGGCCTAGTCACAGGTTTACAAGCGAGACCCAGGATAATTTTATTGCATCATACCATGAAGTTAAAGACCAATAAATAAAAGCTAAATAAGATAGCTTGTAAGATTTAGCGTAATTTAAAAAGACACAATCCAAAAAAACAGAAGCTAGATCGCTTAAGGTGATAAGAGGACTTGTATTTTTACTAATGCCCTTAGTGAAGT